AGTTTCAATTGCCCAGATGTTCATTTCATACAGTTAACTTTATACAAAGGGCATCCTTTGTTCCAACAAACACATTGCGGTCATTGTTCTCAGCTGGGAACCTACTGCACAGCAGTTCACCTGTTTCCTATGTAATCCACTATCAATCTACTGACCTTTGTGCTGATTTAATGTAAAATCGTTCACTGGGGAGAGGAGGGATAAGGAGAAGTTATGCAAAAATGTTTCCTGGTCCCTAGCCTTGGATTGATTAAGGTCATGCTGCAGGATAAAAAGGCAATAAGGAATGGGAAAGCTCTTTCATCTTGACCCTTTTGGTGTGTAGTGGAATAGAAAATCACATTAGTAACTTGAAAGTTTTGCTCTGGTGTCTCAGAATGTATTAAAGGGGACCTAAGCATCTTCGAGAAGGGACCCTATTGCCACTTCATGCCCTTCCCTATTGCCACCTCTAAAATCTTCGTGTCAAGGCACAGAGTGCTTGCCAGTCCCCGTCGGGTAACTGTCACATAGTGAGAGGCTCCGCTTCACAGTGCGGGGCCTGAGGGCTGCCCGATTCTACAGAGTTCATCAGGGACAGATCTCAAGGTTAGTCAAACTGCCAGTGTCCCATATAGGACAGCCCATTTGCTGTTTGTTAAGCCACGTGGACATCGCATAGGCTGTTCAGTTTAACTTAACCTTTAGAGCAGTCATGAGAGCTTAGTTCATGAGCAGAATAAATTCCATGGAAGGCTTTGAAAGAAGATTGTACGTATAAATGCACTGGCTGTTGTTAAAAGATCTGTGGAAGATGAGCAGTGGAAAATTGGACAGGAATTGTGCAGTATATCATGTAAGGGTGTAACTTGGCAATATACATCTGTGAAGGTTTTAAATCTCTATCTTGGCCAAAAGAGACCTTCCAAATGACAGGAATCCAGCCATCTTGAGCCCAAACGTTCCTAGAAAGATGACCCTACAAAATTGTCCAGGCTGCTGGCAGGGATAGCATTACTGGCAACTCGCACAGTGTTTTAATGGCCAAGGCTGAGGCACAAGAGGAGCTGTGCTCCACAGCCGGCAAGAGGAGGAGGCCTGGAGAGAAGCTGGCATCAGGCAGTGGTTTTTAAGATTTACTTCATTCAGCCAACTGTAAGACTGCTGGGCAAGATCTGCACAAGGTTGATTTTTCGTTTAACGTGCTGATGTGATTTGCTGTGGCCCCCTTGTAGCTCTCTGGTGCCTGGGCCAGGATATCCAGGACACCCACCATATTCTTCCTGTGCAAACCTTGGGAAAGGGAACTGCAGCTGCCAGTGTCTGTTCTGTCTGCTCAGCTGGGCAAGGAGGAAACCAAGTAGGTGAGAAGGAGAAAACCCAGGGGTCCTGTCCAGTTGTCATTACCAACAGTGGATGGATAAGTAGAAAGGTACAGGTTTTTGTTTCCAGAAC